CATACAGAGATTGCTACAAGGCGATTGTATGATTTAATGTCCAGTAACCTACACTGAAGCAGTTTCAGCCAACTGGTGAAGTGACCCTGTCACGTGGATGTGATCTACAAGGTTCCCTAGTTTTAGTTTGGAGCTAAAGCGGTCATGGGCTGTCAAAACGTTTTCAGCAACCTTACGAGTAGTGTGTTAAGTCTAGAAAGCTACTTTCTGCGGGGTGGATAAATCACCTAGCTGCAGATGACTAGACAGCTGTACGGACAGATTCTGCCTACCACTCGTTCAGTACAGCCCATATCACGTGATCTACTCGTAACAGGTTCTTCGGATGACTACTCCTCATAGTAAGACCTGCAACTATTCGTAGCTTTCCTTTTTAAGTGGTTTGTTAGAAAATACGGTCATGAATGGGCTAGAATACTGCCACAGTGCCCATAACTAGACAGGACGGTGATTAGGGTCCCTAATCTAAGCCTTTGGTTCAAAAGCCTGGCCGTAAGGCAGCAACCTGGCAGTTAGAGCACACATACACATTCCAACCCCAAAGCTGGGGCACCGAACACAGTGTTAGTCAAACTGATGGGCATCCAGTGCTCACAAACACAGACGGACCAACTTCAAAGGCATAAAACTACGGGAGACGGCCAAACAGCTCAAAGTTACCCGGCCTGAATAGAGTACTTTTGAGCTCGTTAGACTAGGTATGTTCCACTTTGCTCAGCCAGTGTTCCTTGGCTAGTCCGGTAGGTGGAGCTCAAATAGTTCTGCGGTACATTGACCCTGCCGGCGTGAGCATACATGGCCAGCTGTGATTTCACCGATCATGAGAGTTTGCAAGGAGTGAGCTAGCGGACACAGTTTTGCGTCACTGATTTGTCGACGTCTAGTCTTTGTGTTAAGCCCAGCGATGAGTCAGTGACTGTGGGCTGAGTAGGGCTACATTAGTGTTAATATACGTACTCCGAGTTGGGACTGATCTTCGATCGGCTGGGCGTTCCCATTGGTTACTCTGTTTTCCTGTGTCCTGATTGGTCGACGACTATGTGACCTTCGAGCATGGCCTCCCATGCCCTCGTACCCCGGTCCAACTTTGGAGTTCGACATTGTTAAAAGTTCATAAGTATTACAAGACGCACATACCTGTTCTCGCAAACCTGTCAAGAACCTGTTGACCAGGTGCAGGTTTCCAGCAAATCTTTTTCCAACATAGATTCCGGTTGCTGACTTCAAAATGCAAATAAAAAAACGCATCATCTAGTGCGCAAACCATTCTTGTGCCAGGTTGTTCAAGATATCTGCCACCACAATTGCGTCAAAACAAGAACATATTAAGCGTTCCGTGTGTGGAATTTGTGGGTTGCTTTAGTCTGACTCTGAACTCCGGTACNATTTGTGGATTGCTTTAGTCTGACTCTGAACTCCGGTACTGTGTCTGGTCACGTGTGCCCGAGTGACCTTGGGCTTTTGAATTTCCATAAATTAACCGAGAAACCTTACCCTGTTCTTGTGATGACTACGCAACAACGAAGCGATATTTTTGAGCTGTTTTCACATCCTTACTGGGAATCATCGGCGGTGCGCAGTTCACGACCGTCATCCTACAAGTAGCTCAGAGGGACAGCGATTTTACAAGTCACGTGAACTGTCTACCTCAAGAGTCGTCACCTGAGAAGGAGACGGTCAATCGAAGCGTGATCACGTGATGTGGCTTCAGTGACTGTAGAATGAATGGTGCTGTCTGTATCCTACCACACCACTGATCAGCTGCTCTTGGCCGAACAGTTCAGTGTTCAAACTGTTAGCCAGGAGACCGCGGATTACAGATGAACACTGTTAGAGTTTGGCTTCACCTATAGGACTAAATCTCCATTGAAGTCGCAGAGTATGGCTCACTTCAGGATGGAGTAAACTATTTGGATTTTCAAATAAAGACTACTTCATCTTGCTAGGTTACTGTAATCGGAAGTTAGAGATCAGTTTGAGGAAAGGACGCTGGGGTCGGGGTGGTTTTTTGCTCCGAATTTCCGGTTTTTAACTCACGTTTTTTTGCCGGACTCGTGATTACTTTTCATTGCGTTTCATAACGTACCACACACCAGGTGACTGTTACCTTGTGTGCGTTGGAATCTACGTAACCGAAGTATTTCAAGAGAATGAGTAGCTAATAACGCGCGAAAACCACAAATTTTTCTTCGGTGTGACGTCACGTCTGTTCAGTTGGTGCCACGCCATTGTATCGATCGACACAACTCTTTTTTAAATTACGTTACTTATCCGCCTTGCAATTCGTCTGATTACGTGTACGTCTACTTCTGTGTGGATAGTCGATCACGCATGTGGCGCGGAAAATAAATAACGGGCGTGGACTTAATATACTACTCACAAGGTTGCTGAAAATTCTTTGACATTCCACGACTGGTTTCGCCCCTCATTGGGCTCACCAGGTAGGCGCAGTCCTCGAGTTTCGGTCAACCTCATATTCTACTTGAAACCAAATCGCACGAAATGGACCTCCAGTAAGTCCAGAATTAGTAGCAAACTCTGGGTGGGTTTTACTAAACTCTTACTCCTTATCTTGACGAGTTTCATCCACATTGGATTTACAGGTGTAGACTCCGACAGAGGGAAAATCTAATCGCTCTTCTGTTTCGGCTGACCCTTAGTAACGGACAATATTTTTGTTATCAACTGATTGAAAGACTGTTGATGGAAAGACACCCCTGAATCGACATCATACAATCTTCGGGTCTTGCCCTCTCCTTCTAATCCTTTGCTCTCCTCATCTTCGGCGAACAAAGCTGTAGTAGCTGGAACCAATCTACTTTGGCAAACAATTTGCCACCGCCATACACATGGAGAATAGAGGTTGGGACACACGTAGCAGCTTGAATGTTCAAGAGTAGAGTGGACAATGTCGCGGTCCGATCTGTTCCGCATTACGAATAGGTATGGTAGGCCTTTGAAGACTCTCTGTGCTTATCACGAAGGTGAGATGCCTGAAAGTAACCTCAGAACGCCCAGAACCTATTGAGCCCCTAAAACTCCACCAAAATCTCAATGGGGAAGCCGGCAGCCATCCAGGATGATCAATCATCCAGTCAACGCCGCAAAAATCGATGAGTGTTCAGGCACGCCACAGAAGCACGGCCGAATGTGATCAGCATCCAGTCATTTCGTAGAAGCACGATCGATGTTGATGGGTGTTCAATAAACGCTTATCAGACAGTTTGAATCAATGTCAAAAAGTACCCTTGGAATAGCGCGGGGGCGTTGTAACTTCAGCACTCGCTGTTGTAATAAAGCTGTTGTGTTTCTCGCCGGTGAGTCTTTTTCCAGTACTAGGAGCGTGAACGGCAGTCGGATATAACAGATTGGCGACGGGGATGGGATGGACCCTAGGTGCCTGTGGAACATTGCGTGAGTCTGGTGGAAACACATGCCAGAAGGCGTTTGGGAAAGTTCGTTCTCTTCGATGGATCAGCTGGTCACGCTCCACAGGCGCAGGCTTAGTCCATTTGCTTCCTACACCAGAGGACTGTCCGCCTCGTAGAGCCCTATTAGCCCAGCCTTGTTGGGTGGTCAGTCCATCACCTGTCGACGAAGCATGAATGCCCTTACTGGTCAAATTAGTTGCGTTGGCAAGTACCGGATGGGGACTGAGGGATGAGGCAAACCAATGAATAATGACCCTGACAGATATGGCTGTGTCAATCAGCCAGTGGTGGCCTTGCATCAAAGCCATCGCCTTCACTGCGTAGATCCCCATTCCTGCCACACCGACCAAAAGAACCATTCGACGCCAGCGTACTGATTGGGCCATCGCATCGAACTCATTACTTCCATTTCTTTACTTTCCTAACCCCCGGTAAATCGTATAAAAAATCGTTCACCTTTAGCACCCTTTCGGTGCCTAAGTGTCATGCCACCTGAAGGCTGCACGAGGGTTGGGATACCGTCAGGTTGCCCAAGCCTAGACAGGGGAAGTCGAGAAACAGCAATGATGGCCTACTTACAGCTCATTCCACGATACCCGCATAGAATTGTCAGTCGAAGCATCATGATACTGCACTGTTGTTTATAGATGGCTGTTGAAGATGCGTAGCGCTCAGGACCCATAAAGGTGTCTAAAAATGGGGTATCTAATCGTTTGTTTCATTCCGCGCTGCGGTGTTCACCGACAACTTTAGGCGCTGACGGCGGGAATCAGGCACGTCCAACTTATCAGTATTTCCTTGTAATGTGGAAAGATTTCATCATCTTCAGTGGAGATTTCATCCTGTCAGTGAAGTCGCTGTGTTCCGGAAAGCCGAGAAGCAATGTACAGTTGTTTCATCCGAGTTGAGAATGACCAGCCTAGCTTTTTTAGGTTTGGCGTCTAGTCGAATTGGTTCTTCCTCTCCATACACACTCAAGTCTGACCCGCAAAGAATTGGGGTTGTCATAAAGTGATATTCAGTATTGATCAGAAGCGCATCAGCTTTGTGGCATGTAAAACTTTTTTGTCGCGAAATCACCGTTTCTAAGCCGTGGGTGCTGAATTATGCCGTTGAGATAAAATTAGCAAAAATGGACATCACCTAATCAACACTATCTTTTTGGATGAGTTTTATTCATCTTTATCAACCACTCTGAGCTCATTTCCGTCAGGAACTAATGATTAGTATTGATCATGGGTCAAACTGAACGTGGGGTGAATTTTAATCAGGTTCGCGAAAATCAAGCGTATCTGAACCGGACAAAGAGACCTACTGACACCATCGATCCAGCCTAGATCAGCTGATCACATAATGGTGAACAATACTCAGTAGATACCCACGTATGGAAGTTTCGTACGCTCTGAACCTTCTGTCATTAAATTTTGTGGTCAGTTCTGAATGAAAACGACTTGAAACTGACAAGCATATTCGGTCCTTCTTAATATCCAAAACAGAGAGATAACTTCTGATCAAGCCTTTGAGTTCCGACACTCTGTTTACTGATTTTTTCTATTCTATTTACCTTTTTCAGGAGTTCATGTGTATAACAATCACCGGAGTGTTCCAATTCGTGTGTATCATTGTAGCAGCTGCAACAACCGGCGGACTAGGGACCATCATCGCCACGGCCGTAAGTTGATTTTTTTCCGGTACTAGTGTGTATTTTCTCTCCTTGGCAAGAGTTAACCAATCTTGGAGGTGGGGATAAAGACGGGTGACGGGGGAAGACCCTTCCGGTTGACGACTGTGTGACAAGTCAGCGTAAGACACACTCCAAAACCAGTTTGGCCACGATCGAAATATTAAGTAGGTTGAGTGCTTACTTGGATTCGCGATCATTCCAAGAAGCCATGCAAAATCAAGGACTAATAGACCGCATGGAGACGAGAGGCAGCGACAAATGCTTGATTCTAAACAGGCAAAAAAAACTACGGGCTACTTGCTAAATTGAAATATGCAACTAGACGTAACACACTACTCATGAGGTTGCTGATATCTCTGCGACAGTCTACGACCGGCTAAGCCCATCAGGTAGTCGCAGTCCCCGAGTTTCTGCCAAACCTGTGCTCTGTCATGAACAAAAAGTTCAGCCAAGTTCATTTGAGTCCCTCTATACTATACTAAACTAAACTATACTATACTATACTATACTATACTATACTATACTATACTATACTATACTATACTATACTGTACTATACTATACTATACTATACTCTTTTTCAAGAAGGAATATTTTCAGAGTACATAACCTTACACCGAACGCTTGAGTAACTTTCCTGTAATCCTTTAGTTCCCTTCACCTAATGCGTTCTGTTGGGTAAACAGACTCACAGTATGCATTCGTTTATCCTTCTGTACGATAAGAATCGTCACACGGTCTTTGTTCAAGTGTGAACTAAATTCAAGTGGACAGTCCCACCACGAGGAATTCTATTGGAAGACCACTGAGTCAAGGGAGAGAGGTGGCCCAAGTGGTTAGAGCGCGAATTTACCGACCGGAACGTCCGTGGTTCGAACCCAACCTCTGCCTCTTGACTTCCCCTACTTGGGCAACCCGGCAGTATCCCAGCCCTCGTGATTCCTTCTGGTGGCATGGCACTTAGGCACCAAAAGGGTGCTACAGCGTACAACGAAGTGACGGTTTTGGTATCGATCATAAAAGCGTCAGCTATTACATGAAACATTTTCGAAGTTAGCTTCAGGTGCTTCAAATTTCTGGGGGAAATCCATCCACAAGCGATCCTCAATAAGGGACGTTTTCAAACTCTTCACGTTCCGTTTTTGAGGATTCACCTGAACATTAAAGACACCATACAGGACTGGGGCAGGAACGCCGTCAAACAAAGCCGAGTGATGGACTAAGATTTACGGACCGAAATCGTCCCCAAGAGTGCTCAAAGTATTCAGCGCCATATAGTGTATAACATTGGATTTTTTCAAAGTATAAAGTCAGAACATAGTGTAATGGAACAGATTGTTGTAAACCGACGTTTCGATTGCGTGGGCGACCTTTCACAAAGATTTCTACAATCAATTGAATACGAGTGTAATTCACTGTCCCTCTTATTGGTGCATTCCTGTGATCAGTTGTCAGTCAGATGGATACTTTAGAAATGTATCTGTCGCTATACCATGTGACTAGTATGCTTGTAGGTGGATAAACTGAGGTTGCTAAAATTGGTGTAGTAGTGTTGTGCCACGTCAGGAGATTGGCAAAAAACAGGATCAACACTGACCGTGCTCCAGACCGATCTCGTTTGTCCCAGGTCGGATGATAACATCAAGGTTTTTTCATGGCTGAATCTGGGTTCAAAGATCGGAATGGATGTTCAAGATTTTGTTCCCGAGTGTTTTTTGTGTTCTGATCTTTGGTTGTTGGTCTGTTCGCTGATCTGTGCACAGGTTTATCGACCGTGATGCACATCACCATTGCGTCAATATCATTCTCATTATCGGCGAAGCATGGCGGTGAATGTGTGTTTGTGTACAACAGTCCAAGACAACTCACTGGTGAAATCACGCCACTCGATGATGAAATCATCATCATCATCATCATCATCATCATCATCATCATCATCATCATTGATAGCAACAGCAGACGTTGCGAACAGTGCAGGTGGAGCGGACTGGTCAGTCCTGATGGATGGACCTACAAGGCGAGAGATATTATTGAAATGGGGGGAGAGAGAACAGAAAATGTATGTGAACTAGAAAGAAGGGAGGTGTCAGCAGTGGTCTTCTTCGCTATCGTGTCCTGCTGTGTGGAGTAAGCAAGGCGGTCCAGCAGAAGGTGATAGCCGATATCGCCTGAGCTTATTTGTAGGCGTGCAATTTATGTTTGTATGTGGTCTGGGCTACTTCAGGGGCGTCCATTCCTAGACAGGGAACAACCGAGGTTTGCAACCAATGCATTTAGCTCAAATCCTCACTTTAATGCAGTGACCGTTGACGGAGGTCACTGAATTTTCAAAGTACAGTCACTACACATGTTCTAACACCCGAACCGTAGGGAGGGGAAACTGTGTTCGTCAGGCCTCTATGAGAGACTGTGAGTATCTCAAGAACACCTCCCGGTATATTTTCATGAAGGAAACTACTCACAAGTTGCTGAAAACTCTTCGACAGCCCACGACCGGTTTCGCCCTTCTTGGGGCCGGTTCATCACATAGGCGCGCAATCCCCGAGTTTCCGTCAACCTTATGATCTACTTGCCAGCTGAATCATGAGGCGGTCTGTGTACAGCACATTCAGCTGGAGGACATCACGGAGTTTCCGTCAACCTTATGATCTACTTGAACCCAAATTGGACTACTGTTTCCGAGAAATACACTCACTTGCAAATCAATTTGGTTTTCACGAGAGACTCGGTATAGTTCAGTTAGTGGCGGCGGCACACACAGCGCTTGAGTTCAGTACCTTCTTGAAGTTGATGATAAAACGTCTGTAACAAGATCGTCCAGCTCACCTACATGTGCCACCTAAGCTTCCATCAATCTCGTTAGTAGCAGCTTGACATTTGAAGGTCTCCTTAGAACCGCAAACCATCTGTTTGATGTTGTCACCTTGAGTACAAAAGTGTCTGCAGTACGACAAGGCAAACCAATGTGCAATCGTTTTGGGGGGGCACGGGAGACTCAATTGAATCTCTCGTTTATGATGTCCTCCAGCTGAATGTGCTGTACACAGACCGCCTCATGATTCAGCTGGCAAGTAGATCATAAGGTTGACGGAAACTCGGGGACTGCGCGCCTGCCTGATGAGCCGGCCCCAAGAAGGGCGAAACCGGTCGTGGGCTGTCGACGGGTTTTCAGCAACCTTTATGAAAACATACTGCGATCTCTCGAATATCGTGCCAACTGAATCATGAGGCGGCCTGTGTAAAGCACATTCAGCTAGAGGACATCATAAACGAGAGATCCAATTGAGTCACCCGTGAAAGCCAAATTGATTTGCAAATGAGTGTATTTCTCGAAAACAGTGCAATTTGGGTTCAAGTAGATCATAAGGTTGACGGAAACTCCGGGACTGCGCCTACCTGATGAACCGCCCCCAAGAAGGGCGAAACCGTTCGTGGGCTGTCGACGGGTCTTCAGCAAACTTGTGAGTAGTTATCCAATGAAATTATTTTAGTTAGGTCTCCTACCATTACCGTGATGATAAAATAAACCTATTCAGGACACTAAGCAGGTGATTCATGTTCAAAACGTGGGCTGGGGTTCTCGAAACAGGCAATCTAACATCTTCCGGAAGAATATGGCTATTTCACATGAATGTGTCTGAACACGGGCATAGATTAGTCTGTGTCTACAGTCTGTAAAAAATGGAACGACTTTTCAACCAGTGAATTGATCTTCCATATCTTTGTGCTATCTTGTCGAACAGGCTTTTTCAAAGTACACTTAGCGATTGGTTATAAACACGGGAGTCCCCCACATATTGGCATATTGGCACAAGCACTCAGAAATTGGTATACTTATTGATCATTTCTTCACGGTCACACAAACCCCTCATTACTATTGGGAGAACCAGCTCCGAACGTAACGGGACTACATAACAGCCAATGGAATGACCGTTTTTTATTGAGACAGATTTCATTGGTTGTTCTTCACTCGCCCTTGACAGATGAGTTGTATTCTCAGTATCACTCTTGTTTTGACCCGCTTGTACGTGACAGTGATCAATAGATCAGCTGGTTCGCACATTGATTGATTTTATCTGGTTTGGTCAAGCGCACCAGGCGATTAAGCGGCTATCCAGACCGAGGTTCCTCGGTACTAAGAAGGCATTAAGGAGACTGTGGTCCACAGCAATTACAAAATCTTGAGTTATTTAGCAAGCGCAATTGATTCGGTTTCAAACATTTCGATGATAGTAACATGTGCGTGCACCAATGGGAATCGATCGAAAAACGGGTGACGTCATACGTTGATCCAGGATTGAAACGTTTTGATCAAGGAAACTACTCATGAGGTTGCTGAAAGCTTTTCGACAGCCCGCGACCGGTTTCGCCCTTCTTGGAACTCATAAGGTAGGCGTACTCCCCGAGTTTCCGTCAACTTGAACCCAAGTTGGACTGATTTCGACAAATACACTCATTTGCGAATCAGTTTTCACGGGGGACTCAGATGAATCTCTCGTTTTAATGATGTTCTTCAACTGAATGTACTGCACACAGGCCGCCTCATGTTTCAGCTGGTACGATATTCGACAGGTTGCGGTGTATTTTCATATAGGAAACCAATCACAGGGTTGCTGAAAACACCTTGATAACCCAAGACTGTCCTCACCCCTTTTGGGGCACATCGACTGATTCATTCATCTACATGTGATTTTGGTTTTACGGATGAGACTTGTCGGGATCTAGGCTAAACCTCCCGTTTCTATGGTGCTCTTCTTCTGGTGAACCCCAGAAAAACGCAAAACCGGTCATGAGTTGTCCAGGAATTTTCAGCAACCACTTCTTCTGGTCAACCCCAGAAAAACGCAAAACCGGTCATGGGTTGTCCAGAAATTTTCAGCCACCTTATGAGTAGTACATTACATTTTTACAATGTATTGTGACATCCCGAATATCGTTCCACACACCGTGCTGCACATTCAGTTGCTTAGAAACATCGTAAACGAGAGATTTAGCTTGGTTTCAGATGAACCTCCGGGCAAAACCAAGTCGGCATACAGATGAGTACATCATCAAAGGGGGCATATGATTCAAGTAGGTTGGTGACACTTCTCCTATGTGGCCAACCCTAAAATCTTGGTCATTCTCCAAACAGAAATGAAATCATGTTGCGCAAAAAAGCTCCAGAAATAAATACTGGATCAGCGAGTTTTCCGAACAGTGTTCTTTGTTGGGAGGTAGGGTGCTTCCTTGAAGTGTTGTCAAGAGAGCAACAGAGTACCTGATCTCCCGTATCAGCTGAACTGTTCAGAATAATGCGAATCCCGTTTGTTTCACTTCACGTTTTTCGGGAAATACGACAAGTTGCACATTTGGTTTAAACGGGCGGTTCTAATACAGAGTCTCTCATAATAGACGCAAAAAATAATACCCATTTGAAGCTTTAACATTATTCAAAACATTCATTATTTTTTACGTGAAGATATATACATTATGTAAGTAAACTAAGAATGAACTAACATTACAATAGATTTTGAAAAAATCGCCGTTTTCTTCTATAACTAGTTGCAGGCGGTATGAGATGTGGGACACGTGACAGTTTGCTCCTTGTCTTTTTCCGTGTTGTTTTGTAATAAAGTGAAATGAGACGGGCAGAGATAAAGGTTGCGTCTCATAATGCGATGCACCGTGGCGCGGGGATTGCCGGTCAACTGAGACACCTGAGTTACTGACGAAGATGCCAAGGTGCCTCTGGACTGAAGTTGCTCGACGGTATTCTGTACGATGGGCGCTCTTTCATCGCTCAGAGACTTTCTCCCTTTGCCAAAAAAATCCAATACAGATACAGCAAACTCAAATTTTGCAATCAAGCGTGTAGTAGTCGGCACGATTAAAGGATCTTTGATGAGACCATGTTTGGTTTTGTAACCACGAATTGCAGCGGTGACGCTTTCACCAAGGGAATAATAAGGTTTCAAAATTTCAATGCGCGTACTGATATCCATGGCGTACAAAAGAATGTTAACACATGCACACAAAACCTTTTTATGTGGCTACTAATGTTGAAAAATTTCGTTACTTTTTTTAGTAAGCCACGTTAATTTATCCAATCAAATATTGCGTTTATTATGAGACACTTGGTGGATCTAACTGAACCCCTCTTTTATGAGTGTATCTCACATACTTCGTACAATTTAGATTCAGCTAGAATACAAGTTTGACGAAGGAGAAACTTTGGCTGGACTGGCCTAAGAAGAACCGCTTTTCATAGGAATCTAGGATATGGTGATTTAAACCGTTTCAGTAACCTTTTTGAGTAGTATAAATGCAACGAAAAATTCTATTGTGAAATAGATCCACGCAAATTCCCAACCCCACTTTGAGGTGAAATCAACTTTCCGTCCAGAGAAACAGGTTGCGATTGTGACGTGAACTGCGAAAAACAAACAGCCTGACACGAGTGATTTACGCAAATGAACATGTGGGGTCACTGGTACTCGATCAACTCCAATCAAGGACAAAGTGTTGCGTTAAAATGGATCCATTCAGTCATCTGTTCTTCATAGCGGTGACAGGTGGATAAAACAGCGAGTAGATTCGTGTTGGATTGAAAAGAGATGAAAACTGGTGAGACGCATTTTCCAAGTATGATGAAGAGGACCACTCATCTTCATTTGCTTGTCCGTTTCTTGATTTTTGGACTATTGCTGAGGTAAACGGGCATTCGCGCGTTCACGGATGCGATTAGGTAATGGGAAAACGACAGGTGGAAGTCTCCTCACTGTCCGACGTATGAGAGACTGAGAGACTGCACGATGTTTCATGTAGTCCGTGTTCCAATTCCTCACCTTTGTTTAGTTTGAAAAACTCGAAGGAGCGGTGAGCCACTTTAGTAAACCGGTAACTGTTCCACTGGGTAAACGACCAAAATTCCGTATCCTGGGCGCACTTTTGACAGAAATTCCGGCCACTTTGCTGGCTTCCAAGTGACCTTTGGACGAGGAAAAATGAATATTTGACTGCGAAGTGACTCCATTCATTCATTATCTGTTTGTTTTTATCTAGGGTTTGAGGTAATCGTCAACCACTCCATTCGTTTTTTTGGCAAAACAGTCAGCGTGTTTTCATAAAGGGGACTACTCACAAGGTTGCTGAAAACTCTTCGACAGCCCACGACCGGTTTCGGCTTTCTTGGGACTCATCAGGTAGGCGCAGTCCCCGAGTTTCCGTCAACCTTATGTTCTAATTGAGCCCAACTGGACTGTTTTCGAGAAATACACTCATTTGCAAATCAATTTGGTTTTCACGGGAGACTCAATTGAATCTCTCGTTTATGATAGTCTACGTTTGTTACTTCAGAATGTGTTCGAGACCAGCCAACTCAAACAAAGTGCTTTGTTCACAGACAACCAACGATTTTTTCTGGCACGCGTGACCAGAGGACACACCTATTTGCAAGTTAAATTTGTGCACGCGTGACAGGGTTACGGCTAAGCCACCTGGTGAGGTTGTTTGGTTGCGTTGGGGCCAAACCGTGGTGGTGTTGGTGAACCTGACCGCACAGTTATCGGTCTGGTTAGAAATGGCCGTTTCGAGGCATTCAATTAGATCAAACTTTGGTCAGTTCCCAGGACATTCTTCGACACAGAATGTAGCGAACCTGGAGGTCTGAGCTTCACTGAACCACGTGAAATGAGAGCTTGCCGTCGAGGGCTTTCACTCAGAAGTTTACCAGAAAAAGTTGGCTTTAATTTTCCACAGTGATGCTTTCATCCAGTCGATTTTACTACTTATTCTGCCTGGTTCTCTATGTTTACCGGTCGAAAAGCCCTACTACAGCTCGGTCTGAAAGAGCCCACCAGGCTCTTTTTGCATCCTGAAGTGAAACTGTAAGATGTATCAACAAAAAAGCTGAGGCTGACGAGACCATCAGTCCTCTGAACTTGAACAGAGGAGACACGTGACATTAGGCGTTTATGTTCCGAACTACAAGGTTGCGTCCAGTATACTTTGCTGAAAAACAGTTGAAGTAGGTGTGACTACTGACCGGTAGTCCGATTGGCGGAAACCAAGTGAATCCCAGCTGTATGAGACAGCTTCTATGCGGCACATTCGGCTGAAGAATTCGGCGATAAACAAGACATTCTGCGGGATGCGGCTGAGTCTCCTTTTCATTTTGGGTTGAAACAGAACTTCGCCAACATGGGGAGCATCAGGAAGGGTGAAACCGGTCGTGTTCTGTTTAAAATTCTTTCATCATAGCTGGCTCACTGGTTAGAGCGCGAATTTGCTCACCAGAAGGTTCGTGGTTCGAATCCGATCTTTACCTCTGGGCAACCTGGCGGTATCTCAGTCCTCGTGCTTCCTTCTGATGCACGAGAACAAGGCATCGAAAGGGTGTCACAGATGAACCTCAGTCCTCCGTCAAGAACAAGACATTTGGGGATATCTCGAATGTCGTACTAGTTGACACATGAAACGGTCTTTGTCAAGCATATGCCGCTAGACAATTGTATACACAAGATTTTCAGCTGAGACTCCGTCGAGTCTGCAATTCAAACCGAATTTCTGTGCAGATCAGTGTAGTTCACGAATCGATAAACATTATTTCTGGGTCCTAACCAAATTTCTTCACTGACGTCGTTGAACTGCGGGCCAAAGTGATTCCCTCCACGTGTAGTTGCCACCAAAATGTAAGAAGTGAGGAAATTACTCACTCAACTGTGAACTGACTGACTATCGACGAAAATTTGACTGCAATCTGATCGGTAAAGAGTAAATCTATCCGAGCTTCCGATAAGTTAGACGCTTTGCCGTCAATTCCTCATAGTCGGGCCAACTGTCTTTCGGTACTGTCATAGGAGCGTTCGGATGCCACAATCCGAGCAAACCCTGACTCGGTGCATGGACCGACCGTCTGAAAGAACAGCTGATTTGAGACCTTTAAACCTGCAGACAAGCGTCAGCGCCATCCTTGTGAGTGGTTTGTTTCAAGAAACTGCCGTCGAGGTGGGTACGAGAAATGCACTGTGTCTCTCTGGAGACTGTGGCACTCCTCAGTTGTCCACGAATTCCGTCCCTCATGGTTTGATGACGGCTTTGCCCATTTTCCAACCAACCTGATGTTGAATAGTACAAAAGCTTGACGGCTGCTCACGCAGAATAAGATTCCCACTCTTGTAGCCATGGAGTAAGACCTCGGTAGTTTGAGTAAGTTAGTAATGCTTTCATCGATCTCATTTCACTCAGCAGTGCTACAACACCGCTTGTTACAGACCACACCGATATGCTGCCTTGTAGTCGCTGTCATCTTTGTTGTCGACACTGGCCGCTAAGTAGTTGCGATGAACCTGTTGAAAAGGCATCCTTTCTGTCCAGAAAGGATGTTACCTCTGGTCAGCAGTAAGCTGGATGGCGAGCTAGTTTCCAAAATTGCTCCAAAATTGAACGAAACAAGAAAGCGAAGTTTCAACCATCATCTTTTCGATCCATACATGACAGTGTCAGGTAAGTTGCTACTTTGAAGGCAAATTACCTGCTTGAAGAGCAGGCTATGTACAGCTGTCATCATAGAAATCACACGTTTACTTGAACCCATAAATGACGGCATATGACTGAATGATTCCTGCTCGGCAATGTGTCGAAATGCGGTTAGGTCGGGTATGCTGATCGAGTTACCAAACTTGACCGTTAGCTTGAAAACGTTCCGTCACCAACTAAGACGGTATGATGACTATCCAATCGAGCATGTGCCCTACTAACACAGGTGCGTTTTGCCAAAGTTGTCGGGGCCTTCCTTGGGGTTGTGTGAGACAACGTAAAAAAAGTGTTCAGCTGTAACACCCTTTCTGTGCCTAGCTGGCATGTCACTACCCGAAGGAAGCACGATGGCTGGGGTAGTGCCCGGTCGACCAAGCCTAGACAAGGAGAAGTCGAGAGGCCGAGGTCGGGTTCGAAATTGCCCCTGTGTGTGACAACATGTAATAGGGGGACCTTTGAATCAGGATACTAAGTTTTTGATCGTTCTACAACAGATTCTTCTAGATAGCATACCCTCACGCAAGAGAACAACTCAGAAGGGGCCAGTTTGCTGGGCACATGAACGCGGTACCACGATACAGCAAGTCGCGTGTCACGTGACCCATTACCAACTGTTTCCTCGTATGACAAACTTCGGATAATTTCAAACTCTCGCATGGTTATTTTCAACTTGCTCGATTTTCTCTACCCTCCTCCCCCACCCAACCCAAAATTCTTTCCTGCTCTGCCTCCGCTCAGGTCTTACACGGAATCAGCTTTGCCATCTACGGTGTAGACGCCTTTTTCCTGTTTGCACTCTACAAAGTTCACGGAGGCTATTTGAACAATCCATCCGTGGCTCAACCGCAGGATTACCAACAACAGCAAATGCAACAGCAACAACAGCAACAGTCACAACCGGAGGATGAACACCAGTTTGACTATCCAAAGTTCACCCCATCGATGTTCGATAATCCCGCCTATGCTCAATGAACCGGCCGGTTGTACATATTACCCTAGAAACTATAGCCGTTTCTCCCTGACTCGCTGGAAACGACAGCTGTCACGAGAACACATCTTCCAATGGTGAGTGTCATCATACCGTATCTGTACTTTTTCTCGGACGTTTGACCTTCAAAATGGAACTAATACGTCCACGTACCAGTGTGTTTGTGATTCTTTAGGGGTAACCTCGGTCCGCAATGAGGGCCTTTGTCACTAGGAGTTTGCTTCGAAAAGGATACAGTTATCTCAGCTGACCGTTTACCTGTTCGAAAATACATTGTCACGGTTTCTGTATGATCCGTCTTAGTGTCTTTCACTCTACAAAGTAAAGAACGCTTCGAACCTCACACAGCTGTCCTGCGACTTTGGAATAAAAATGAACTAATTAGATTTCTTGATGAACTATGGACTGATCGATAGCTGGTATGGCATGACTTCAAAAGTGGCCTGAACAAAACTCACTTTGTTCAAAGCCGTTTCGGTGTTTTAGCTGCAATACCGCCTTCCAAAGGAAGCACGAGGGCTGGGATACTACCAGTGTAACGGTTATACTACTGATGGGGAGGCATGCGAGTAGTATCGTTTCTTCTCGTAAATTTGCTTTGCGTCTCTTGAAAAGAGGGATCTATTGTGGAATTTGTGGCGTCACTTTGTGGCATTTGCTTGGACTTGAGCAACAGTCAGTGAATATCCAGGAAGGTTCAGAAAGACTCGTTCAAGAGAAGATGGATGTTCAGTTTTTGTAAACAAGATGCATAGGGGAGTTTTGCTTCCCTGTCCAATAGTCAGTTGGCATTTGCTAATGAATAACTCCGCAGTGAAGGCCTTCTTCCTTTCATCAGGTTGCCCGAGCCTAGACGCAAGAAATGGTGATGCAGAGGTCGGTTTCGAACCCCGGACCTTCCGGTCGGTAAATTTGCACTCTAACCACTTGCATTACCTCGCCCAGAAAAGAGTACGAATATGTTCGATTGTGTTTGGAAATCATGGGGATCGTCTACGTGGTGTTTTGTACGATCAAGTGAACGTAAAATTGTACTGTGAAGAGATTTGGTCACTTTCGATAGAGTTTTCATCCCGTCGGTGAAGCCAGTCTATGCTGAAAAACTGAGAAGCACCGTAAAACTGTGCTTATCCTTGCTACGAAACAGTCGCCGTACGCATACATGTCGCGACGTAATGCACTACTCATAAGGTTGCTGAAAGCTGTTCGATAGCCCGCAACCGGTTTTGCTCTCCTCGCGGCTCATCAGGTAGGCACGGTCCCCGAGTTTCCGTCGACCTTATGTTCCGGTTGAAACCCAATTGCAAACAAGTTCCACTTTGCGAGAGACTCAACTGTAACCCGCCTGAATTTCTAAGCAACTGAATATGCTGCACAAGGGTCAGCTCATGTTTCATTTGGTACGATATTCGAGACATCGCGATACATTTACAGATGTAATATACTACTCATAAGGTTGCTGAAAATTCTTCGACAAGTCACAACCGGTTCCGTTTTGGTTTATCACTGGACTTAAACTGAAGACCGCTGGCAGGATTAGATTACACTGCAGTTCCATGTAGATGCGTATATTTTGCTAATTTGATTTCAAGTAGAACATAAGGTTGGCGGAAACTTGGGGACTGCGCCTACCTGATGAGCCAAAAGTGGAGGGGCGAAACCAGTCGTGGGCCGTCGAAGAGTTTTCAATAACCGTATGAGTAGCGTATGTGTCTACAACAGGGGGGTGCTCAGCTGCGTGAATATGAATGAATGTTTCAGAGGTAAAAACACGTATGTAGGACATGCGTTTTCTGTAAATGCTTGTGGGCATTTGCGATGAATTCTGCTTCAGATGTGTTGAATTCCTAGGTATTGGTAAAACCACTTTAAATATGCCGACAGAATGTCGTGCATAACTGAGACGAGTTTGTTGGTCCTTGGCATTCTAGGTACTCGTCGGTTTTGGTACCCCGGGTCAAACAGGGAGTGATTTTCAAGACTTGAGTGGAGGGAGGGGCAGGTACATCCCTTGGGCTCAGCAATTTTGTTGGGAATATCAAAAGCCCTGAAGCTTCTGAGGAAGTGGCGCGCAGTCTACGATGTGCTCCTGACAGATTCGAACAAAAACGCATGAACTATCGAGGTCACCAGGAAACTAGTTTTCACAGCCCAATGGAAGCATGATTTCATGTGGACTCTTTAGCTCTGTAACATTAGGCTATCTGCAAATTAGTTTGCAAATGAGTGTATTTTCGCTAATTTCGTGCAATATGGTTCCAAGTTGAACATAATGTTGACGGAAACCCGGGGAATGCGCCTACCTGATGAGCCCCAAGAAGCGCGAAACCGGTCGTGGGCTGTCGACGGATTTTCAGCAACCTCATGAGTAGTGCATTACAAAGATCTAATCTATGCGTCATTCCCCCCGACAGTGCTGTAGAAATGCATGAAAAATTTTGACTCATTTAAACTCAAAATACAATAAAACTCCAAACGTTGCAGGGTTTCCTTGGCCAAGGTTGAAGGAGCTCAGCTTTCTCCGTGAATCGCGATGCTGCGCACGTGACCACATGATTACGTTGCTAAAATCATTTTAAAGCAATGAGTATGACAAGAAATTTCAATTTGGCTCCCTCTAAATTGTGTTAACATTCTTGACAGAATTGCAATTTCGCACCTAACAATTGCAGTTGGCAACGCTACGAAACGCATATTTTCTGGAGAATGGAAACACCGTTTTGACTCACTCACAGGAACACGACAAAATGCCACGCCGCCTCCGCGTGTGACTAGTCTTCAGAACTGTCAAAATGTCGGTACTTCAGGTACGATACAGTTCAACTGTGGTCACAAAAATGCAGAATAGACACCTGAGTCGTGTAACTTCTCAAAGCAGGTGCGCACATTTCGGAGACGTTAGATTTTGGTGGGGAAACTGAGCAAAGTAATCGCGTAAGTGGGGAGTTTTCTGATCGTCAAAGGGTACTTTTGGCGTCGAGCTTTCGTCCGCTTCAAACTGTCTGAAATCTCATCGGAGGGTTCGACGCGCACCGGATAGCCTTCTAGACTTTCTACCCTGCCAACTCACGTGATTTATTCATTTGAGCCTAGCTGACTGTTTCTCACTAGACGTTGAGTTTTCGCGCTTTTGTGAAGATCAAAATGGAAGACAGTTTGGATCGATAGCTGGGGTTTTGAGCTGATGTCCTTTGACGGGTAGCGAAAAGGGATCTTGTCCAGATAAGCCCCGCCAGAAAATTAACCTCTGGCACTCAAAACGGATTAGGGAACGTGGAAGTTGTACTTTTATTTTTTATTGGAGAGGGTGAAATTGGGACATGTCATGAATGGTTTGCATGAAAAGGTCCGTTTTTCGGTACTTTTGTCTCCAAACGAACTCACGCAAGTAGCTGCCAAGTTTTTGTATCAGCAATAAATGAATAGAATTACTGTGCTAAACTCCATCCCAGACCACCCAGTCAAGTTCCCTTTCGAAGACCGATTCCTTGCCGACACTGTCGGGCATTACACCTCCACCTGTCAGAAACGGTTGAAAGTGTCATTTGGTGGCCATTGTTGCATAAACGTTGCTGATGGATCACTCCGTGGCTTTGCTAAGACGCATTGCCGTCTCCTTGTCATGAACAGGAGTTGAAAGCGTCAGAAAGTTCATTTAAGGTTTTACGTCCGAACGGAAAAAATTTTTGCACAAAATGAGCCTAGATGCGGAGAAGGAATTGGTTTCATCTAAAGTAGGTCAAGGTTGTGCGCACACATTAAATTGGAGCTGGCAAATGTGGGGCGGGGCTTAACTTTTCGCACATGCACTTTTTGCATTAGTGGCGGGGAAAAGATTCGCAAAAAGTTTGCAAGCCAAATGTCAAGCGCGGCCAACATCTCCTTCGAAACATTTTTTCTCTGTTATAATACTACTTACAATGTCGATGAAATTTCTTTGAAGGACCTATTTTTCGAAAGTCATTGGGTGTAGATCCCGAATTTCTTGTGGCCCTATCGTATCCACATATCTGGAACTTAACAGCCGTTCCCAAAACGGACGTGTGACGCGAATACTTCCCGGTGGATATTTGAACCGTAAAAACATTTGCGAGGAACTGATTCGAGGCACAAAGTTTTGCGAACACATAGTTTCGGCAGCTAGAAACTATTGGGTAAATATTACTGTTGCCGAAGAATTCTCAAAAGATCGAAAAGTACTCATTAAACAGTTTATTTCAAGGACTTTCGGTGCCTTTTTTCCTGACACAGGGTGGTCCAGTAGCCGAATATTGATCGTCCTGGCTATTCTCAATGCTGTCTGGCACACTATCCTACAACGGTTTGGTGGTGCCCTATAAATCTCTCTCAACGATTTAACCTGATTGGTCCGCTGGCTGGTATCGATCAGGTGAACTGTGATCAGTCACGTGCCTGGCCGATCTCAAATGAGTCATGATCTGAGGTACCAAATCGAGGATTTGTCCCAGGACAATCGCAGTCGAAAATCACCTGAACCTAATTCTTGACCACTGTATATGCTTTTTAAGGGGCGCCTACTTCATAAACGTTTTGTCTCTCGTCCATGGGAGTCGTTCAGCTTCCCTCTCCGTTCGTCTGGTGAATAATGGTCACTGCAGAGTGATTCGTAATCAGAGCAACAGAAATTCATCCAACTTCCGATCAAGTTCTCAAGCCTTGTGGTTCGCTTTACATTGAAGCCAGCTTACTCACTAAATTTCACGCAAGGTCTATCCAGATAGCGGTCGACGGCGCTAGATCGATTTCTGTCCCCTAATTTTCTAACATTCAGGGGTCGTTGTTCAGCCTACAACCTCTGAGAGGCTGTCATTCCATAAAGAGCTCTATCTGACTTTACCTCTGTACTAAACTTGATGTGTGGATTCAGTTGATCCAGATAGTTGTGAAACCGGACGAGGGTGTCATCCACATAACGTCGGAAAATCTTGTGTGGGTATGGGAATCCTCCTAAAGCTTTTTTTTCAAGATTCAAGCTTGCTTTTTTACCTTTAATCTTTTTAGTCTACAGTGGGCTGCGTTCGTTCTGAAAGGTTGGTGTCCGATAGCAACAGTCAATTAGCTGCTTACAAAGAGTCCCCTTTGGGCACATTTGTGTAAAAGGGATGGAGATCGAAACTTACATGGATGTCATCTGGTTCAAAGGAGATCCTGGCTATTTTGTTGACAAAGTCATATGAATTCCTAGAGAGAGGCTTTGAAATACCCAATACGGTGGGGAACCTATTCCGTTCACTATCGCTCTCACGGAGATATCTCATTCATGGATATTCGGTAGACTGTAAAGCCTTGGTTGGACTGCACTTTCAGGATAAGATCGATATCAATTATCCTGTCCTAAGTGGTTTATCACAGACCGCAAATACCTGCCCATTTCGGCTTTACTCCTATTCGTTATAGATGTAATATTCGCATTATGGATCTACCGGTAACGACCTTCAGCTGGGTGTTGCTTCACCCTCTGTGGATAATCAGTGTTGTTCATGGTCTAACGCTTGTCATCCTTTGTAATCAATAGGTTTTCCACCTGTTTTAGGGTGTTTATCTGGGAAGCTATACTCCTGGTTCTGTATCCCTTATGTGACAATCTCAGACATACGGCACAACCTCTCCTCACATGTATTCAGGCCGTCTTTTTTGAAAGCACCGCCTGATTTATCAACAAACAAAGTTACTCACCCTATTTGAGATTTTTTTGGAGAAAGTTCACTACTCTCTCGCCATGACTGAATATTCCATCTCACCGAAGTTGGTTCACTCCTCGGCAGTGATTGAACAATGATTACTGAGTTATCATGGCATCGTGGAGGAAACTCCACGCCGTGTAGGGCTCCAAATTTCCATAAGGGAGAATGTGTCAAATCTTGGTTGTCGAAGAAAGTCCCCGTGGGCTCTCCAAAGGAATGGTTTCACTTCCGAGAGTTTCCTCTAAGCGGGACTAGAGTACTGTAAGCCGTTGATGGTACTCTTCGGCCGCTTTCAAGAACATCTTCGTGGTTCTACATTGGAAGTGAGGTGCTGTGCTCAAGTTCACAAAGAACTGCCAGTAATCCGATGATAACTGGTTGGGTTCAGTCTTGTGACATCACGTTTAGACTGGCTGATTGCTTACAACCTACATGTGCACGTTCCCCCGTCAATCCTATTCCCTCGGAACCAAAAACGGTCCGGGACATCGGCTCGGCACAAGCCATCTGTGACGTCCCGTTTGCACTGAAAGTTCCAGTACTCTGACCACTATTGACCTACAAATCCGATTCAGATTTCAGTGCTACAATATGCGGTGCATACTACTGATGAAACGCAAGTAGTGTCTGGTCAGTTGACAAGTCGCTGTATCCTATCTGATGGAAAGTGAAACTTGGTGCGGAAATTGTGGAATCTCTTCGCAGTGCTTGTTCATTGTTGTTCGACGGTGAAAGGACTTCACGAAAGTTCAAGATGTTTGAGAAAGTTCGGTTTTTAAAAAATCTGTGCTTCAGTTAGAGCCAACCAGTAGTGCATATACTCGGCCATCTCAAGGTTCGAATCCCGAACATATGTACTGTTAGTCGTATCAGTCGATCGTGAAAATTCAGACGCATCCGTCTTGTGCTGGGGGAGTAGTGTTGCCACGTTCGTATTGCTTGTCAGGTATCCGGATTTGAAACCCCAACACGGCCAATCCAATGCAATGCTGATGAGCTCCAATCAGATTTCGCCTCCCCTGTGGTGTGAACTCACAGATCAAACAGCCCTCCCGACGTTCTTTGCCAACATGTTCAATCAAAGACAAACATTTGGTCCATTCCGAAGAATCTCTGGTGGACTGCACTGAGTACTTTCCACACAAAGAAATAATCGATAGAACTAGTGTCCCAAGTTGGTCATCCCCACATTCCTGACGAATGGCGTTTCCACCGTGATATCTCCCATGGAGCTGCAGGCTAGCCGTTAGTTACAATCGGGCTTTTAAAATTCATTGTGAGAATTTGTCCCCCCGTTACCACTAAAGATTTCTCTGCCTTCAGTGTACGCAATCAGGTATTCACCAAAGGAAAAAAACGTATCTTGGTGCACGGTTCGCTGAGTGACGGTTTGCAAGAACGCCTAGTGGATCCGCGTAGTG